TCCATTCAAACATGGCATCTACGCCAACTTGGCCTTGATAAAGAACTCATTCCTGGGCATGACTTCAAATTCGTCCAAGGGTAAAACCATCAATTACAACCACCAAAAAATTTTAAGAATGTTTAAAGGTTAATAAGAGTGACAGCCGCACCTGGTAGGTTTATATCCCAAGCGTCTGATAAATGCAAACCGTTCTTCGAGTCCATGATAGGAATGGAAGGCGCAACTTGGGATTCAAAATGTAAAGTGGGCTTCACGAAGTTGAAAACCTACTTAGCCGCTCTGCCACTCATAACTGCACCATTGTTTAGGACCGGATAGTCGACGCATATCCGCAGCTAACCATCCTGCTTCTTTTGGAACAACCGTGGGACTCGGTATGGCACCTTGGAGGGCTTCTCGTTGCTAGAATTGAGCAGTTCGTTCAACTACCACCTCAACTCTACCAGTTCCACAGGCGACATCCAAAGGGGCACAATCTTGAAGCTTTGAAGTAGGCTCCTGCCCTATTTTGTGGTCAACTACGCTTCTAAGTAGAAGGGTCTTGGGGAGTTCAGGAGGTATCAGATCATACAATTCTTCCAAAATTTTTGCCCCAACATCGTGCACTTCAACCTTCACGTCAGATTTCCACCAATATCATGAGGTATATCATCTCAGTCTTCTGCAACCCATATTTCACTTGCATAGTGGACAAGATCTCCACCTTTTGCTTGCCATCCCCATTACTTTCATATGCCACAACCACAAGGAGAACCCATATTGCGCTCACACCTAAAATTTTTATTCCATTCAAATGTTGCATCAATGCCAACTTGGTTTTGATAAAGAACTCATTCCGGAGCAAGACTTCAAATTCGTCCAAGGGTACAACCATCAATTACAACCACCAAAAAATTTTAAGAATGTTTAAAGATTAATAAGAATGACAGCCGCACTTGGTAGGTTTATATCCCAAGCGTCCGATAAATGCAAACCGTTCTTCGAGTCCATGATAGGAAAGGAAGGCGCAACTTGGGATTCAAAATGTAAAGAGGGCTTCACGAAGTTGAAAACCTACTTAGCCGCTCTGCCACTCAGAACTGCACCATTATTTAGGACCGGATAGTCGATGCATATCCGCAGCTAACCATCCTGCTTCTTTTGGAACAATAGTGGGACTCGGTATGGCACCTTGGAGGGCTTCTCGTTGCTAGAATTGAGCAGTTCGTTCAACTACCACCTCAACTCTACCAGTTCCACATGCGACATCCAAATGGGGCACAATCTTGAAGCTTTGAAGTAGGCTCCTGCCCTATTTTGTGGTCAACTACGCGTCTAAGTAGAAGGGTCTTGGGGAGTTCAGGAGGAATAAGATCATTCAATTCCTCTAAAATTCTTGCACGAACATCGGGCACATTCAACCTTCACGTCAGATTCCCACCAATATCATGAGGTACGTCATCTCACCATTCTAGAACCCATATTTCACTTGCATAGTGGACAAGATCTCCACCTTTTGCTTGTCATCCCCCTTACTTTGATATGCCACATCCACAAGGAGAACGCATGTTGCCCTCACACCTAGGATTTTCATTCCATTCAAACATGGCATCTACGCCAACTTGGCCTTGATAAAGAACTCATTCCTGGGCATGACTTCAAATTCGTCCAAGGGTACAACCATCAATTACAACCACCAAAAAATTTTAAGAATGTTTAAAGGTTAATAAGAGTGACAGCCGCACTTGGTAGGTTTATATCCCAAGCGTCCGATAAATGCAAACCGTTCTTCGAGTCCATGATAGGAAAGGAAGGCGCAACTTGGGATTCAAAATGTAAAGTGGGCTTCACGAAGTTGAAAACCTACTTAGCCGCTCTGCCACTCGTCACTGCACCATTGTTTAGGACCGGATAGTCGACGCATATCCGCAGCTAACCATCCTGCTTGTTTTGGAACAATAGTGGGACTCAGTATGGCACCATGGAGGGCTTCAAGTTGCAAGAATTGAGCAGTTTGTTCAAATACCTCCTCAATTGTGCCAGTTCCACGTGCGACATCGAAAAGGGGCACAATCTAAAAGCTTTGAAGTTGGCACCTGCCCAATTTTGTGGTCAACTGCGCGTCTAAGTAGAAGGGTCTTGGGGAGTTCAGGAGGAATAAGATCATTCAATTCCTCTAAAATTCTTGCCCCAACATCGAGCACATTCAACCTTCACGTCAGATTTCCACCAATATCATGAGGTACGTCATCTCACCCTTCTACAACCCATATTTCACTTGCATAGTGGACAAGATCTCCACCTTTTGCTTGTCATCCCCCTTACTTTGATATGCCACATCCACAAGGAGAACGCATGTTGCCCTCACACCTAAGATTTTTATTCCATTCAAACATGGCATCTATGCCAACTTGGCCTTGATAAAGAACTCATTCCTGGCATGACTTCAAATTCGTCCAAGGGTACAACCATCAATTACAACCACCAAAAAAATTTAAGAATGTTTAAAGGTTAATAAGAGTGACAGCCGCACTTGGTAGGTTTATATCCCAAGCGTCCGATAAATGCAAACCGTTCTTCGAGTCCATGATAGGAAAGGAAGGCGCAACTTGGGATTCAAAAAGTAAAGAGGGCTTCACGAAGTTGAAAACCAACTTAGCCGCTCTGCCACTCATAACTGCACCATTATTTAGGACCGGATAGTCGATGCATATCCGCAGCTAACCATCCTGCTTCTTTTGGAACAACAGTGGGACTCGGTATGGCACCTTGGAGGGCTTCTCGTTGCTAGAATTGAGCAGTTCGTTCAACTACCACCTCAACTCTAGCAGTTCCACATGCGACATCCAAATGGGGCACAATCTTGAAGCTTTGAAGTTGCTCCTGCCCTATTTTGTGGTCAACTACGCGTCTAAGTAGAAGGGTCTTGGGGAGTTCAGGAGGTATAAGATCATACAATTCCTCCAAAATTTTTGCCCCAACATCGTGCACTTCAACCTTCACGTCAGATTTCCACCAATATCATGAGGTATATCATCTCAATCTTCTGCAACCCATATTTCACTTGCATAGTGGACAAGATCTCCACCTTTTGCTTGCCATCCCCATTACTTTGATATGCCACAACCACAAGGAGAACGCATATTGCCCTCACACCTAAGATTTTTATTCCATTCAAATGTTGCATCAATGCCAACTTGGATTTGATAAAGAACTCATTCCGGAGCAAGACTTCAAATTCGTCCAAGGGTACAACCATCAATTACAACCACCAAAAAATTTTAAGAATGTTTAAAGATTAATAAGAATGACAGCCGCACTTGGTAGGTTTATATCCCAAGCGTCCGATAAATGCAAACCGTTCTTCGAGTCCATGATAGGAAAGGAAGGCGCAACTTGGGATTCAAAATGTAAAGAGGGCTTCACGAAGTTGAAAACCTACTTAGCCGCTCTGCCACTCGTCACTGCACCATTGTTTAGGACCGGATAGTCGACGCATATCCGCAGCTAACCATCCTGCTTGTTTTGGAACAATAGTGGGACTCAGTATGGCACCATGGAGGGCTTCAAGTTGCAAGAATTGAGCAGTTTGTTCAAATACCTCCTCAATTGTGCCAGTTCCACGTGCGACATCGAAAGGGGGCACAATCTAGAAGCTTTGAAGTTGGCACCTGCCCAATTTTGTGGTCAACTGCGCGTCTAAGTAGAAGGGTCTTGGGGAGTTCAGGAGGAATAAGATCATTCAATTCCTCAAAATTCTTGCCCTAACATCGGGCACATTCAACCTTCACGTCAGATTTCCACCAATATCATGAGGTACGTCATCTCACCCTTCTACAACCCATATTTCACTTGCATAGTGGACAAGATCTCCACCTTTTGCTTGTCATCCCCCTTACTTTGATATGCCACATCCACAAGGAGAACGCATGTTGCCCTCACACCTAAGATTTTCATTCCATTCAAACGTGGCATCTACGCCAACTTGGCCTTGATAAAGAACTCATTCCTGAGCATGACTTCAAATTCGTCCAAGGGTACAACCATCAATTACAACCACCAAAAAATTTTAAGAATGTTTAAAGGTTAATAAGAGTGACAGCCGCACTTGGTAGGTTTATATCCCAAGCGTCCGATAAATGCAAACCGTTCTTCGAGTCCATGATAGGAAAGGAAGGCGCAACTTGGGATTCAAAAAGTAAAGAGGGCTTCACGAAGTTGAAAACCAACTTAGCCGCTCTGCCACTCATAACTGCACCATTATTTAGGACCGGATAGTCGATGCATATCCGCAGCTAACCATCCTGCTTCTTTTGGAACAACAGTGGGACTCGGTATGGCACCTTGGAGGGCTTCTCGTTGCTAGAATTGAGCAGTTCGTTCAACTACCACCTCAACTCTACCAGTTCCACATGCGACATCCAAATGGGGCACAATCTTGAAGCTTTGAAGTAGGCTCCTGCCCTATTTTGTGGTCAACTACGCGTCTAAGTAGAAGGGTCTTGGGGAGCTCAGGAGGTATAAGATCATACATTTCCTCCAAAATTTTTGCCCCAACATCGTGCACTTCAACCTTCACGTCAGATTTCCACCAATATCATGAGGTGTATCATCTCAGTCTTCTGCAACCCATATTTCACTTGCATAGTGGACAAGATCTCCACCTTTTGCTTGCCATCCCCATTACTTTCATATGCCACAACCACAAGGAGAACGCATATTGCCCTCACACCTAAGATTTTTATTCCATTCAAATGTTGCATCAACGCCAACTTGGTTTTGATAAAGAACTCATTCCGGAGCAAGACTTCAAATTCGTCCAAGGGGACAACCATCAATTACAACCACCAAAAAATTTTAAGAATGTTTAAAGATTAATAAGAATGACAGCCGCACTTGGTAGGTTTGTATCCCAAGCGTCCGATAAATGCAAACCGTTCTTCGAGTCCATGATAGGAAAGGAAGGCGCAACTTGGGATTCAAAATGTAAAGTGGGCTTCACGAAGTTGAAAACCTACTTAGCCGCTCTGCCACTCGTCACTGCACCATTGTTTAGGACCGGATAGTCGACGCATATCCGCAGCTAACCATCCTGCCTGTTTTGGAACAATAATGGGACTCTGTGTGGCACCATGGAGGGCTTCAAGTTGCAAGAATTGAGCAGTTTGTTCAACTACCTCCTCAATTGTGCCAGTTCCCCGTGCGACATCGAAAGGGTGCACAATCTCGAAGCTTTGAAGTTGGCACCTGCCCAATTTTGTGGTCAACTGCGCGACTAAGTAGAAGGGTCTTGGGGAGTTCAGGAGGAATAAGATCATTCAATTCCTCTAAAATTCTTGCACGAACATCAGGCACATTCAACCTTCACGTCAGATTCCCACCAATATCATGAGGTACGTCATCTCACCGTTCTAGAACCCATATTTCACTTGTATAGTGGACAAGATCTCCACCTTTGCTTGTCATCCCCCTTACTTTGATATGCCACATCCACAAGGAGAACGCATGTTGCCCTCACACCTAGGATTTGCATTCCATTCAAACATGGCATCTACGCCAACTTGGCCTTGATAAAGAACTCATTCCTGGGCATGACTTCAAATTCGTCCAAGGGTAAAACCATCAATTACAACCACCAAAAAATTTTAGAATGTTTAAAGGTTAATAAGAGTGACAGCCGCACTTGGTAGGTTTATATCCCAAGCGTCCGATAAATGCAAACCGTTCTTCGAGTCCATGATAGGAAAGGAAGGCGCAACTTGGGATTCAAAAAGTAAAGAGGGCTTCACGAAGTTGAAAACCAACTTAGCCGCTCTGCCACTCATAACTGCACCATTATTTAGGACCGGATAGTCGATGCATATCCACAGCTAACCATCCAGCTTCTTTTGGAACAACAGTGGGACTCGGTATGGCACCTTGGAGGGCTTCTCGATGCTAGAATTGAGCAGTTCGTTCAACTACCATCTCAACTCTACCAGTTCCACATGCGGCATCCAAATGGGGCACAATCATGAAGCTTTGAAGTAGGCTCCTACCCTATTTTGTGGTCAACTACGCGTCTAAGTAGAAGGGTCTTGGGGAGCTCAGGAGGTATAAGATCATACATTTCCTCCAAAATTTTTGCCCCAACATCGTGCACTTCAACCTTCACGTTAGATTTCCACCAATATCATGAGGTGTATCATCTCAGTCTTCTGCAACCCATATTTCACTTGCATAGTGGACAAGATCTCCACCTTTTGCTTGCCATCCCCATTACTTTCATATGCCACAACCACAAGGAGGACGCATATTGCCCTTACACCTAAGATTTTTATTCCATTCAAATGTTGCATCAACGCCAACTTGGTTTTGATAAAGAACTCATTCCGGAGCAAGACTTCAAATTCGTCCAAGGGGACAACCATCAATTACAACCACCAAAAAATTTTAAGAATGTTTAAAGATTAATAAGAATGACAGCCGCACTTGGTAGGTTTATATCCCAAGCGTCCGATAAATGCAAACCGTTCTTCGAGTCCATGATAGGAAAGGAAGGCGCAACTTGGGATTCAAAATGTAAAGTGGGCTTCACGAAGTTGAAAACCTACTTAGCCGCTCTGCCACTCGTCACTGCACCATTGTTTAGGACCGGATAGTCGACGCATATCCGCAGCTAACCATCCTGCTTGTTTTGGAACAATAATGGGACTCTGTATGGCACCATGGGGGCTTCAAGTTGCAAGAATTGAGCAGTTTGTTCAACTACCTCCTCAATTGTGCCAGTTCCACGTGCGACATCGAAAGGGGCACAATCTCGAAGCTTTGAAGTTGGCACCTGCCCAATTTTGTGGTCAACTGCGCGTCTAAGTAGAAGGGTCTTGGGGAGTTCAGGAGGAATAAGATCATTCAATTCCTCTAAAATTCTTGCACGAACATCGGGCACATTCAACCTTCACGTCAGATTCCCACCAATATCATGAGGTACGTCATCTCACCGTTCTAGAACCCATATTTCACTTGCATAGTGGACAAGATCTCCACCTTTTGCTTGTCATCCCCCTTACTTTGATATGCCACATCCACAAGGAGAACGCATGTTGCCCTCACACCTAGGATTTGCATTCCATTCAAACATGGCATCTACGCCAACTTGGCCTTGATAAAGAACTCATTCCTGGGCATGACTTCAAATTCGTCCAAGGGTAAAACCATCAATTACAACCACCAAAAAATTTTAAGAATGTTTAAAGGTTAATAAGAGTGACAGCCGCACTTGGTAGGTTTATATCCCAAGCGTCCGATAAATGCAAACCGTTCTTCGAGTCCATGATAGGAAAGGAAGGCGCAACTTGGGATTCAAAATGTAAAGTGGGCTTCACGAAGTTGAAAACCTACTTAGCCGCTCTGCCACTCATAACTGCACCATTGTTTAGGACCGGATAGTCGATGCATATCCGCAGCTAACCATCCTGCTTCTTTTGGAACAACAGTGGGACTCGGTATGGCACCTTGGAGGGCTTCTCGTGCTAGAATTGAGCAGTTCGTTCAACTACCACCTCAACTCTACCAGTTCCACATGCGACATCCAAATGGGGCACAATCTTGAAGCTTTGAAGTAGGCTCCTGCCCTATTTTGTGGTCAACTACGCGTCTAAGTAGAAGGGTCTTGGGGAGTTCAGGAGGTATAAGATCATACAATTCCTCCAAAATTTTTGCCCAACATCGTGCACTTCAACCTTCACGTCAGATTTCCACCAATATCATGAGGTGTATCATCTCAGTCTTCTGCAACCCATATTTCACTTGCATAGTGGACAAGATCTCCACCTTTTGCTTGCCATCCCCATTACTTTCATATGCCACAACCACAAGGAGAACGCATATTGCCCTCACACCTAAGATTTTTATTCCATTCAAATGTTGCATCAATGCCAACTTGGTTTGATAAAGAACTCATTCCGGAGCAAGACTTCAAATTCGTCCAAGGGTACAACCATCAATTACAACCACCAAAAAATTTTAAGAATGTTTAAAGATTAATAAGAATGACAGCCGCACTTGGTAGGTTTATATCCCAAGCGTCCGATAAATGCAAACCGTTCTTCGAGTCCATGATAGGAAAGGAAGGCGCAACTTGGGATTCAAAATGTAAAGTGGGCTTCACGAAGTTGAAAACCTACTTAGCCGCTCTGCCACTCGTCACTGCACCATTGTTTAGGACCGGATAGTCGACGCATATCCGCAGCTAACCATCCTGCTTGTTTTGGAACAATAATGGGACTCAGTATGGCACCATGGAGGGCTTCAAGTTGCAAGAATTGAGCAGTTTGTTCAACTACCTCCTCAATTGTGCCAGTTCCACGTGCGACATCGAAAGGGGCACAATCTAGAAGCTTTGAAGTTGGCACCTGCCCAATTTTGTGGTCAACTGCGCGTCTAAGTAGAAGGGTCTTGGGGAGTTCAGGAGGAATAAGATCATTCAATTCCTCTAAAATTCTTGCACGAACATCGGGCACATTCAACCTTCACGTCAGATTCCCACCAATATCATGAGGTACGTCATCTCACCGTTCTAGAACCCATATTTCACTTGCATAGTGGACAAGATCTCCACCTTTTGCTTGTCATCCCCCTTACTTTGATATGCCACATCCACAAGGAGAACGCATGTTGCCCTCACACCTAGGATTTGCATTCCATTCAAACATGGCATCTACGCCAACTTGGCCTTGATAAAGAACTCATTCCTGGGCATGACTTCAAATTCGTCCAAGGGTAAAACCATCAATTACAACCACCAAAAATTTTAAGAATGTTTAAAGGTTAATAAGAGTGACAGCCGCACTTGGTAGGTTTATATCCCAAGCGTCTGATAAATGCAAACCGTTCTTCGAGTCCATGATAGGAAAGGAAGGCGCAACTTGGGATTCAAAATGTAAAGTGGGCTTCACGAAGTTGAAAACCTACTTAGCCGCTCTGCCACTCATAACTGCACCATTGTTTAGGACCGGATAGTCGATGCATATCCGCAGCTAACCATCCTGCTTCTTTTGGAACAACAGTGGGACTCGGTATGGCACCTTGGAGGGCTTCTCGTTGCTAGAATTGAGCAGTTCGTTCAACTACCACCTCAACTCTACCAGTTCCACATGCGACATCCAAATGGGGCACAATCTTGAAGCTTTGAAGTAGGCTCCTGCCCTATTTTGTGGTCAACTACGCTTCTAAGTAGAAGGGTCTTGGGGAGTTCAGGAGGTATCAGATCATACAATTCCTCCAAAATTTTTGCCCCAACATCGTGCACTTCAACCTTCACGTCAGATTTCCACCAATATCATGAGGTATATCATCTCAGTCTTCTGCAACCCATATTTCACTTGCATAGTGGACAAGATCTCCACCTTTTGCTTGCCATCCCCATTACTTTGATATGCCACAACCACAAGGAGAACGCATATTGCGCTCACACCTAAGATTTTTATTCCATTCAAATGTTGCATCAATGCCAACTTGGTTTTGATAAAGAACTCATTCCGGAGCAAGACTTCAAATTCGTCCAAGGGTACAACCATCAATTACAACCACCAAAAATTTTAAGAATGTTTAAAGATTAATAAGAATGACAGCCGCACTTGGTAGGTTTATATCCCAAGCGTCCGATAAATGCAAACCGTTCTTCGAGTCCATGATAGGAAAGGAAGGCGCAACTTGGGATTCAAAATGTAAAGAGGCTTCACGAAGTTGAAAACCTACTTAGCCGCTCTGCCACTCGTCACTGCACCATTGTTTAGGACCGGATAGTCGAAGCATATCCGCAGCTAACCATCCTGCTTGTTTTGGAACAATAATGGGACTCAGTATGGCACCATGGAGGCCTTCAAGTTGCAAGAATTGAGCAGTTTGTTCAACTACCTCCTCAATTGTGCCAGTTCCACGTGCGACATCGAAAGGGCGCACAATCTAGAAGCTTTGAAGTTGGCACCTGCCCAATTTTGTGGTCAACTGCGCGTCTAAGTAGAAGGGTCTTGGGAGTTCAGGAGGAATAAGATCATTCAATTCCTCTAAAATTCTTGCACGAACATCGGGCACATTCAACCTTCACGTCAGATTCCCACCAATATCATGAGGTACGTTATCTCACCGTTCTAGAACCCATATTTCACTTGCATAGTGGACAAGATCTCCACCTTTTGCTTGTCATCCCCCTTACTTTGATATGCCACATCCACAAGGAGAACGCATGTTGCCCTCACACCTAGGAT